GCCGCGCGGTCAGGCCCCGGTCTCTGCTGCAGACTTGGAGCTTCTCGAGCAGGACCCCGACTCCGAGAGCCGGAAGTTCTACAAGAGCTTCTTTGAAGACGTCGTCGAACTGTCCCAGTATGTCACCTGACAGCTGCAGTTGATTGTGTTGTGTTGTGTTGTGCTTTTTTAGTTCCCTATTAAAAGTGATGCATTCCCGCTGGCCCCCGGGCCTTGCCTCGCGCGCCCCTCCCCCGCCCCTTCCTCAGCTGGGACCTGCGGCCGCCCCCTCAGACCCCGACGCTAACCGGCCCCGGGGCCCAGAGAGCCTCGCAACTCGAGGTGCTCGGCGGCTCTGCCGGGTGTTTCCTGTGGCCTTGTGAGCTGAGAACTCCCCGGAGGGTGCTGGGCCCAGAGCCTGGGGGCCATCCTTGACGCCTACTCCCTGCCCTCCCAGGCCTGACCAGATCTGTGATGCTTCCCGCCAACATCTAGAATCTTCCCACGTGCCCCACCCTGGCCCAGGACCCCACCTCCCTCCTTTGCCCTGCCCACTTATAACGCACACCTCACCCACGTCTGGCCTGCCCTCAGGATGGTGTCTGAATCTGGATTGTGGCCCTGGGACCCTTGGCCATCTGGTCCCCACCTTCCTCTGCTTTCCAGCCCGGGGTCTCGGCTCTGCCTCCCCACCTGCCTCACCCTCCCTGGGCCTGGGGGGCGGCGCCTGGCCCTTTCCAGACAGGCCTGCCCTCCTGCCCTGGGCCCAGACGGCTGGTCGGGGGGTGGCATCTATAAAGCTCCAGGCACGTGGTAAACCCTGAGCCACTGTGAATCAAATGAACGCATGAGAACGGTGTCGGGATGCGGCTGAAGCCCTCGCGAAACACCAGGGCCCCTGGAAGGAGCACAGGAGCACACAGACAGCTGTGCGGGCGCAGGTGGACACGGCCCAGGAGCCCTGGAGACGCCCCCCTGCAGCCAGGGAAGTGAAGGGGCTTCGGGAGAAGGCACCTGAAACCAAGCTGAGCAGGAGGACAGGATGCCCACTGCTTTTTTTGTTTTTCTGTTTCTATTGTCTTGGCACCTGGCGTGCAAGACAGAACCACTTACCAAAGGTGTACAGCAGGGTGGGAGGCTAAAGGCCCAACTTTCTAATCAGAAGGCCAGAATGGGGGGCCCCCTAAGAGCTGGAAAGAGTAGGGAAAGCGTGCAGAGGAGGATGTTTAGGGGAGCAGCCTGTGTACGTTAGCATCCACCCTAAACAGCAGAGCATAAGCTTTCAGAAGTGGTCTGAAGGGCAGACCACTGCCCGGCCCCAGACTTGTCCGTGGGTCTTTTGATGCCCATGCAAGACACGCCTGAGCCGCACTGGGAAAGCCCTCAGACCGGCCTGGCGCCAGAACCACGGCTCACAGGTGGTGGGACGGCGGTGGGAGCCCGGCCCAGCCGACTGTCTGCCAGAACAAGCAGCCCAGTCAGCAGTCTTTGTGGGATTTAAACAGGAGGCAGAGGCTCACAACCAGGTGTTCACACTGTCCAGGACGCAGTCCCGAATCACTGGACATGAAAAATCAGGAAAACCGCAGTTGCAAGGGAAAAGGCATTCAACAGATACCAGCCAAGAGATGGCACAGACATCGAAATCGTCAGGCTTTAAAGCAACTGTTGTCATTATGGTCTGAGAAGCAGTGCAGTGAATGGAAAGCTGGAACAGCTGGACAGAGAAATGGAATAAAATGCCAAGACCGTGTGCCGTTGGCAAAAGAATACGCAAATAGGGCAATAGAATGGGAAGGCCGGCCCTGAAGTAGACCCGCCCAGTCGGAGTCACCTGATCTTTGGCAAAGGAGAAGAGTCAGTTGACAGAGAAATGAAAGTCTTCTCAATAAATGGTGCAGGAGCAATCGGAATCCGTGGCCAAAAAAGAAACAGAACCCAGACGCCGTCCTTACACCGTTCGCAACGTGACTTCAAATGGGCTTGTAGTTACCTGTAAAATGCAAACCTCCAAGACTCCTGGAAGAGAAGATCCGGACGACCTTGGAAGTCACAGTGGGTTTTCGGGGAAGAACCAGCACAAAAGCACAACCCGTGAAGGAAAAAACGAGGTTAGAGTTCTGTTTTTCAATTTGAAAAGTCCTTCTGTGCAAAAGGTACTCCTGGAAGACTGAGAGGCCAGCGAGGGGCCGGGGAAAAGCCCTCACACACACCTGGTAAAGGGCTGCTGCTCCACATACGCAGGGCTCTGCACAAACTCAGCCGCGAGACAAGCAGCAGCGCCTTGTCCCTCTTGCTGGGAGGCTCAGGGAGCCCAGCCCGGGCCGCGCCCGGCGCCCCCAGCTGTGCGGCTTAGACGCCGTCAGACTCACCGAGCACTCACGCCGGCTGGAGCTTGTTGTGTATAAATTGTACCGCAGTAACGCTGACTGAAAAAGTAAAATCCAAGGGTGCGCACTGGTGTGCGCTGTGACGCACAGAGAGCGTGTTGTGTATGCCTTCGTGTAGCCTGTGATACACCTTCAGCAGTGCTTTTTATTAAAATAAACCATGTCAAGAAAAAAGAAAAAGACATAACAGATCAGATGCGCACGTAGCAAACCAGATAGATCTTTTTTTTAAAGAAGTGCTTAATGGAAGAAAGTAAAGCGAACGAGATATCTAATGATATGATTTAAATAAATTTAAAATACGTACACTTTGATCGTCATACCACAGTTATGTGAAATGTTACCATTAGGCAGGAGACCTAAATAGACATTTCTCCAAAGAAGACACACAGATGGCCCACAGGCACATGGAAAGATGCTCAGCATCACTATCAGAGAAATGCAAATCAAAGCTACAATGAGGTATCACCTCACACTAGTCAAAATAGCCATCATCAAAAAGTCTACGAATAAATGCTGGAGAAGGTGTGGAGAAAAAGGAACCCTCCAACACTGCTGGCGGGAACGTAGGTTGATGCAGTCACTATGGAAAACAGTAGGAAGTTTCCTTAGAAAACTAAAAATGGGGGAGTGGGGTGGGTATAGCTCGGTTGTAGCATGTACGAGGTCCTGGGTTCAATCCCCAGTATCTCCATTTAAAAAAAGACCTAAAAATAGTCACCATATGATCCAGCAACCCAACTCCCAGGCATTTATCCAGAGAAAACTCTAATTTGAAAAGATACATGCACCCCGATGTTCATAGCAGCTCTATTTACAATGTCCGGGACACAGAAGCAACCCAAATGTCCATTGACAGATGAATGGATAAAAATGATGTGGTATAAATACACAATGGAATACTACTCAGCCATAAAAAATAACGAAATAAGGCCATTTGGACAATATAGATGGCCCTAGAGATGATCATGTTAAGTGCGGGAAGTCAGAGAAAGACAATGTCATGTGGCATCGCTTATGTGTGGACTCTAAAAAAATGGTACAAACGAACTTATTTATAAGACAGACTCACAGACGTAGAAAACAAACTCAGGGTTGCCAAAGGGGAAAGCAGAGAGGAGTGTGTAAACTAGGAGTTTGGGGTTGGCGTATACATTCTACTCTATATATAAAGTAGGTGATAAGGTCCTGCTGTACAGTGCAGGGAGCTGTATCAAACATCTTGGGCAACCTATAATGGAAAAGAATCTGAAAAGGAAATACACACATGCATAACTGAATCACTATGCCGTGCACCTGCAACTAACACAGCTTGGTAAATTAGCTACATGCCAATAACAATAACAAAAAATGGAAATAAAAAAGATACTGTAGTAGGAAGAAATATTAATCATGTTTAAATGTAGCCAAGGAAGATGTTAACGTTGGTGGAACATGTGAAGGGTATACAGAACCTCTCTGCACTCTCTACAACTCTTCTGTAAGCCTAAGATGATTTCGGAATAAAAAGATTAAAAAAACCCACCTCTTCCCCCCAGGAGCACTTACAAGCAGAAAAAGGCACATTGACTAAATTAAAATGGTTGTTTACAGGTTGTGGGGAGGGTCATGCGGATACGAGGGAATAAATAAACAAGTCAGTAGACCAGAACTAGACTCTCCTGGGTCAAGGCGGGTAGGAGACCTCCACCTTCAAGACAGTGTCGCCCTCGACAGGCTGGGGGACTTAGGAGCAACGTACTTGGAGGAGGAAGGAAGGAGGTGTGAAGCCTAAGGTGGCAGGGCGTGAGACAGTGATTTACAATGCGAAGTGTATTTCTGATCTTCCTCCCTTTTCTTGGCACAGAGCCCCGAAATCCTTGTAAGGTCCTAAGTGGTGAGAGTTTAAAGGGGCCTTTTGTTATGTTAAGGAGGTGACTTTTGGACCCAGAAGTAGGTTGGGGCTGGTGGCCAGGAGAACCAACCATGTGATTAGAGGGTTGCAACTTTCAGCCCCACCCTCGGACCTCCCCGGAGGGGAGAGGGGCTGCAGGCTGAATCAGCTGTCAATGGCCAGTGACTTAATCAGTTATGTCTATGTAATGAACCCTCCATAGACCCCCAGAAGACGGGGTTCGGAGAGCTTCTGCACTGATGGCCACGTGGAGGTTCAAGGAGACAGAAGTGTTCAGAGAGACCGTGAAACGCCAGTTCTTTTCCCACGATCCTTGCCCCGTGTTCCTGAGCTGTGTTCTTTCGTGGTAGACCAGTGATCCGGCAAGCAAAATGGTTCTCTGAGTTCTGTGAGCAAATTAATCAAACCTGCGGTGGGGGCTCCGGGAGCCTCGGGTCTGTCACAGTTTGGTCAAAAGCACAGGTGACAACCTGGCCTTGAGACTGGTGTCTGAAATGTGGGCTAGGGGGAGTCTTGTGGGACTGAGCCCCTAACCCCGTGGGTCTGCTGTCCCAGGCAGACAGTCGGAACTGAGGTGAACTGTGGGACACCCAGCTGGTGTCTGGAGCAGTGCCTGTTGGTGGGGGGAGCCCCCCTACACTCCCACGAAGTGGAGCTGGGCACAGAACCCAATTAAACGGTGAGCAAAGAAACTGTTACACATAAGTGAATATAACCAAATGTTGTCTATTTTTAAAAAAAGATGATAATGTCTGATTAGTGGCAGTAAAAAGTAACTAAAATAATAGAGAACACCACCCTGTGAGCCCCAAGAAAAATGTCAGCATGTTCCGAGGTCCATGGCTGGTTTGGAAGGGGGCTCAATACACTGATACACTTTAGTGCTTGTTAAGTGAAATAGCTGGTTACATTTCAAAGGC